AGCGAATATATGTTTCTGCTTCAAGGAGAAAACCCGTGTCTCTTTTTGTGTCATGGGGCAGTGTCGGTGGTGTACTACAACATGCGCCGTCGTTTTTAGACCAAACACGGAGCTAAGTATGCGAAATGTAGCCTCCAAGAAAAGCAACAATTTGTCAAAGAATTCAAAGACAGACTGCAGTTGCAGCAGGAAATGTGCAAAAAAGCTACAGCAAAAAATATGATCGCTTGATGTTATTGTTGAGGGAAAAAAATATTTTGAATTTTTCAAATTTATTTTATTGAGGAAAACGTTGTTGCAGTCTGTGCAAGTTCATATTTCTGGTTAAATCATTGTCAGACTGTTCAATAAATGTCAATCCTGTTTGGCAGCTGTGACTGTGGCTTAATTTTTGGCCCTTGTATGATTTGACTTTGACACCCCTGGTCTAGAGTTATTTGTCTTTAATGTTATCAGCCAACATGTTATCAGATACCTCAGTGCTTCATAAGAGATGAGGTCAGTATTGGGATTTGGAGAATCCATGCTTCATTTTGCAACAGACAAAATTTAAATTTTTTTAGGTTACCACCACACAAATAAACACCAGCTTCATATAAGAATAACAAGAACAGCTAGAAACAACCTCTACCTGAAAACTGCAATTTGAAAGTTTGATTTGAGAGTTTACCCCATACTGTAAACATTTTAGTGAATTCTGAGTCCCTGTATTTTGCGATTCTTGCAGATCTGACAGAGAGAAGGATTCAACAATGCATCCAATGAGGCATCACAGCAGATTTTGACGTTGATTGAAATTGTAAATCTCTCTAAAATCTACAATCCAGTGCTCATATAAAGAGTTATTCATAATCATTAATCCTATTTGTATTTACAATGAAGTAATTTCTTTGTACCAACCTTAAGACACCGGGGATGTAATCCATCCTCGTTCCAAGCCAAAATGCATTTTGAAGTTTAAAAAGGACTAATATGAGGCTTCAGCAGTGTGGGTTAGGTTTTGTGCCAGTGTTTTATTCTGGCAGTGCAGCTGCTAAAATGTGTCACTTTGCCATATGGCTCAACAAGGAGCGGTGGTCTTGGGAATCACTTTTGGATGAAATAGACTGTACTATGATAGACGTATAAAAATCTAAACCTCTGTTTTGTCAAAGGGAAACTGTCCACAGATGCTGTGCTTGTTATAGTAATGGTAAGGTTTACATTAATGTGTCAGTTATTCAAAGTCTGGTCTGCTGTTGCTACACAGGTGCAACTGAGGGAAAAGCACTGGTGGACAGGGTGATGACATCAGTTAAAGGAGGTGCTCTAGAAAGTGCTGTTATTATGAGGGCTAAATTAGATGAGGATGGATTGATGAATATCGCTACATATCAGAACTGAGCACGGACCATTGCTGACGCCCCTGCACTGATTAACGGTGAGGTAGGAACGACAGTCACCAGCTATTAGATGAACGTCTATGAAATGTTGTACAGACATACAGTCTTATGCAAAAGTTTAGGCACCCCTTGATAAATAACAGATTTTGGTGATTTTTTATTTGAACAGATGTTAACACAGTTTCTCTTGGAAATGGAAAAAATGCACAATATTTTCTGCAAACAGTGATGCATAGTTACTTCTTATGCCATAAATTGAACAAAAATAAAAAATAAAAACATGATTATGGCATGGTGCAAAAGTTTGGGCACCCTAAGAGTTCCAGAGTCTCAAAGTCTCTCACAAGGTATCAGACCTTAATCAGCTCGTTAGATCTGATGCACAGCAACAGCTGTCATTGGTAAATGCCAATTTCAAAGCTGTACAAATACTTTGACTCTTCAAACCTTGTGCACACACTTGTGGACACCCAGCAACCATGGGTTCCTCTAAGCAGCTGTGTAAGACCCTGAAAATGAAAGTTATTGATGCCCACAATGCAGGAGAAGGCTACAAGAAGATAGCAAAGCGTTGTCAGCTTGCAGTTTCCACAGTAAGAAATGTAATTAAGAGATGGCAGATCAGGGGAACTGTGGAGGTCAAGATGAGATCTGGAAGACCAAGAAAACTCTCGGACAGAACTGCTCGTATGCTGGTCAGAAAGACAAATCAAAACCCCCATTTGACTGCAAAAAACCTGCAGGAAGATTTAGCAGACTCAGGAGTGGTGGTGCACCGTTCCACTGTGCAGCGATGCTTGCACAGACAAGGCCTTCATGGAAGAGTCAGCAGAAGAAAACCTTATCTGCGTCCCCATCATAAAATCCAACGTCTGAAGTATGCAACAGGACATCTACAGAAGCCCGATGCGTTTTGGAAACAAGTGCTGTGGACTGATGAAGTTAAAATAGAACTCTTTGGACACAATCAGCAAAGGCATGTTTGGAGAAAAAAAGGAGCAGCATTTCATGAAAAGAACACCTTGCCAACTATTAAGCATGGGGGTGGATCTATCATGCTCTGGGGTTGTGTTGCAGCCAGTGGCACAGGAAACATTGCACGGGTGGAGGGAAGAATGGATTCCACTAAATACCAGCAAATTCTGGAAGCAAACATCACACCATCTGTAAAAAAGCTGAAGCTGAAAAGAGGATGGCTTCTACAACAGGACAATGATCCTAAACATACCTCGAAATCCACTATGGAATACCTCAAGAGACGCAGGCTGAAGGTTTTGGAATGGCCATCACAGTCCCCTGATTTAAACATCATTGAAAATTTGTGGGTAGATCTTAAAAGAGCTGTGCATGCAAGACGACCAAAGAATATTACAGAACTAGAAGCCTTTTGCAAGGAAGAATGGGAGAAGATCCCAAGTACAAGAATTGAAAGACTTTTAGCTGGCTATGAAAAGCGTTTGCAAGCTGTGATATCTGCCAGAGGAGGTGTTACTAAGTACTGATTGTGTAGGGTGCCCAAACTTTTGCACCATGCCATAATAATGTTTTTATTTTTTATTTTTGTTCAATTTATGGCATAAGAAGTAACTATGCATCACTGTTTGCAGAAAATATTGTGCATTTTTTCCATTTCCAAGAGAAACTGTTAACATCTGTTCAAATAAAAAATCACCAAAATCTGTTATTTATCAAGGGGTGCCTAAACTTTTGCATAAGACTGTACATGGTGTCCAGAGGATGAAGCTTAATGAATTTGGTGATGCTCCTGTTAACATGATGATGACATTTGATTTTTAGTGGCATTTCTCAACTATTAGATGCATTTCAATGATATTTGGTAGAGACAATGTCTTCCTCAGGATGATTGTAATACCTTTGGTGGCTCTCTGACCTTTACCTAGTGCTACCATTAGGGTCAAAATTTGTCCATTACTTACTTTAGTTTATGACTAAATACCTGATAAACTAATGGCTACTTGAGTTTACTGCTAATTATTAAATATCAGCCTGCTAACACGCTAAATAATGATGGTGAATATAGTCACAGCTGTGCCTGCTTAACATCAAGATGTTGCCATTTTGTTGGCATGCATAACAATAGCATTTAACTCAAAGCACTGCTCTGCCTGAACACACACGAGGCAAATGAGAGATGGGATTTTTCTGTTATCAGTTCCTGGCAAGTACTAAAATGATTCATACTTAGTTGTTCCTTGCAGCCAGAGCCCATCCATATGTTAATTCCACTGCATATGCTTGATGCTAATGCCAACATATCAAACCTGAAGCAGGCCACAACAGACTATATAGAGTATAATGTGTGCAAGTATAAGCCTTGTTACAATGGAGGGACTCTCGCTTTGCTGGACGGAAGATGTGTGTGTCTGTGCCCTCACCTGTTTGAAGGCATGGCTTGTCAGAATTACAAGGG